CACGGGAATTACGTAATTTGCATGTACTATAGATAGCGTGTGTTGTAATTTATTCGGGTCGGTTAGCGTTCTGAGTTCGGAGTGTAACGGTCGTGAATAAAGTGTGTTTTAACCTAACCGCGGTACTACACGTAGGACCGCAAGTGAGCTTACGTCACTCAATTTAACTTACTGTATAGAATGACAAATCCTTTGTAAGCGAGAACAGATCTCTTTGTTGAGTGATATGGCAAAAATAAATCTGTTCGTTGAACTGAGATATGGCACCTTTAAACTCGTCTGATTCCTCTTTCCAGGTCATCTTAGAGGGGGTTGTTGGTAGTGGAATTTACGGAGACATTGCCGTTGATGATCTATCCTTACTTGGCGAAAATATATGTGACAGCATAAAGGGGAATGGTTAGTTTACCATTACTAAACTTAGTTAAATCCTGCTAAACGTCTGGCTGTACGAAGAAAGCCTCAGTTAGGGCTTGAACCTAGTACAATCGAACTTGAAAAAAGTTAAAAGCGCGAATGTTATCTAAATGGTATGATTTATAGTACTATTCACACTTTCGCATTGCCCATATATAGTAGGTAGTGTTTGCTCCCACTCTCCAATTTTTTCCTAACCATTATTACCAATTTCTTCTGGGCTGATCGTCCTTGAAAGAAAGAAAAGAAAGAAAAGAAACCGAGAAGAATATGCGTGTGCAAGATTTTGGGGAGCAAACAGAGCGCATTATGAGCAGTGCGAAAATGGTGAATTCACTGAATTCTAAAGTATCATTTAATGACCCAGTGTCTTACATCTATATTATCTCCGGAGGCTTTGAGAAGGTCCTGGTCGCGATAGATTAAAACCACTTAATATGTTCGAAGACACAGGTTAAACGAACGTGTTAACGTTAACGGTTTATTTTCAACTGCTGTATTTAACAGAGCTTCCCGGATGTCTATTTGAGTAGGATCATTGCGCTTGGGAGCCGAGTGACAACTGGCGAATGAGTAAACTTTTCCCCTTGAAATTTTTGGAAAAGGATTGGCAAAACACCCTCGGTACGTATTGTCCCCTTGCGTTTTAATAAACCAAATTAAGCATTTCCCTGTAAATTCCTTAAACGTGATATTCTGCAGGCGGATTTACATATTTGCAAGGTTGTTCATGGACTGACAAAGAATCAGGGTGCTATGGGACTTTGAAAAGTCGACGCATTTTGCCTGAAGCAGGTTGGAATTGTATGCAGCTCTGGTATTATCTTGAAACCACCGGATCTGGTTCTCTTAAGGTGTCTTTAATAATCAATGAAACCAAAGCCATTTTGTGGAGTTCAGACTTTCATCAAGATCAAGGAAAAGCTGGACATTGGATGTATGTTCGCTTGCCAATCGACTTTGGCTCGAGGCCATACCAGGTGAATACCATAGCTAAATAAAAAACTCTAAAGCTATTGAATTACTAAAAAACTTAGTTAGCTCAGTTTGGGTTGATACTGCGAAACCCTATCCTAAGTTGGAAAAGAAGGAGGCAGCCGATCTGATTCTACCAAAATTAAAATGTATTACTGATTCCTGTTTACTTCATCGGATGTTTTCGTGACGATAATTTCCTGACAAGCATCATTTACAATGTGATAGTTTCACTCAACGGACACAAGAAGCTAAACATGCCATATATGACGGACCAAACTGCCAAGATTAAGAAAAGGATTTTGTTTCATTGTATGTTTTTCCAAGATTTTGGTTATTGATGGGCAAGCATTTGAGGCCTACTGTATTTGCAAGTTATAACAAGCTTCCCTGCCAAAACGGAGAAACAACTATTTAAAGACTGGTGGCCGGAAGTGAAAGTTATGTTGCCTTTTGTCTTACCGAGAAAACACTTCAGTATCATGACAAGGGTGAAGTCTTTGACGTTTAGTCTTTTTTGGATGTAACTAGGTCCTTCTTGAAGGCCTTCTTGAACGGCAGACGTCCTCGAAGCGGGCATTCCTTGCCGTGGATGACATAGCTTTTCAAACCGAAGGATGTGAAGTAATTCCCTGGCAAGGCAAGTGTGATTCACCCAGTTGAACAACAACCGCGTAAATTTTTTTTAATATAATGAACTGCAATGATCAGATTCGCTTTCATGTAATGTCACTGTTTAGATAGTAAGAAAAACAAGACTTAATCCCGTACTAGTAAATCATTAATCTCTTTCTAAAGTTTTCTTTGTTAACAATGATTCCCTGATCTTTTGTAGGCTTCGGACATTTGTGTTCGAAAGCTCTTAAAAATTTTGTTGATGTTGTTGGTATATTTTCCTTACAGATTATTGATTATTAGTCAATCCATCAATCGATGAGGCCCTGTTAGGGGTTTTAGGGATAAGGGATAACTGGACAAATAAATTAAGGGATAAGGGATAACTGATAAAAATAATTTGGTGGATAAGAGATAAGTGAAATGTTTCAGGGGTAATGAGTAGATTGATTATAATCGATTAGCACTTTTTTTCACTTTTCCAGTGTGTGTGTGTGTGTCTGTGTGAAACTTTTACGGATAAGGGATAACAAGACCCCCTTCTCCCCTAATAGGGCCTCTTTGATTCATCCATTTACAATAATGTTTTACATTTGTTCTCTAGATACTGTTTATATTTATACTGGATACTGTCTTGCTGTCAAATTCTTCGAATCCTTCTCTCTTCAACTCTTTTCTAGGCATCACTGGATGTTTTCAGTTTTACGAAGGTTTATGTGGATGGAAAAATTCTAACCAAAATGTCTCACCCTGGAAACAAGCAGTGGGTCTGGATATGGCAGCCTCCACTGAGCAAGTTAAATCGTATTTGCAAAGCAAAGGGAGAAACTCAAAAAGAGGTTGTTAAAAATGGGGACATTTTACTCCCTTAATTTTATTTTTTATTTTTAGATGGACCTTTGTGTTGTTATGAAAGCCTAGGTGGTAGATATCAAATTATTGCGTTCGACGTTAGGATCCTGACGCAACACATAATCTCGAAAATCCCTGGGGTACCTGGGTATCCTGTGGGACTCAAGTATCTTCTTTTCAGCAAGCATTTTTTTGTAGCCTGTGTACAGACGTCCCCTTCCCTCAGAAAGGGGAGGAGGGCGTCTGTACACAGGCTACGTTTTTTGTCGTGCGTCTGCATTTTCTGGGCCATTTTGAATAATTAAGATCGCGATATTTACGTCATACGAGTAAATGACAATAACGTGCATCACACTAGTTCATAAAATTCAACAAGGTGATTTCACCATGTCAAAAGCAGGGAGATACTTAAGTTCGGCAAAAGAATGAACTTTGGATTTGTTTTCTGAGCGGGTTTCATGGCTGAGCTGATGATTCTGCTACACCTATCTCGGTCAATATGCCGTTCAAATCGAGCTGAAACATCGTAGAAAGACACAAATAAAGACCAGGTAACATCTATTCACACGAAATTTAGCCTTGAAGCTGAGGTCCCAGAAGAAAAGAAGCGATAACATATATTGCGCTCAGTACCATCTTGAAAATTCACGGTAAAAAACTGGGCTCGATCTTGTTACGTCACTAGATAAAAAAAAATATCCAGATATAGCGTCCACACGCTTCCGGATTCATAGCGTATTCAAAAATTTCTACCCTGGAGAGCGGATTTAAAAATTTGCGGATTCTTATGTCGGATTCACCTGATACGTGTGGACGGAAGCGCGAATCCGGAAAGAAAAAAATATCCGGATACGTGTGGACGGGGCCTTACACTACCCTGGATGTTAACTTTGTAAAAAAAATATATTATCTAAGTTTCCCTATTTTGAATAATGCTCGACGGCATAAAAGTTAATCAGGAGCTAAGAAAACTCGAACGCACTCATTAATCTATGATTACTACTAGTTTTTATGTACTGTATGCATCGCGAGCTTCACTGTGAAAAGGAAATGTAAAAGTACTCTTGCAAATGGGCTTGATCTGGACCAGGAGCCCATCAAATGAAGCCTCCATCTCCATTAATTTCTTGAGTCAACCCTTTCCCGTCATCTAAATATTTATCTTGCCGAACAAAGGGCGCTTTTCACAGTATAAAGGCACTCAGAGCATACAGTGGCTGAAAAAAATGAAGTTGGATGAAGTCGAACTCAGAAGCCCGTCCTTCGACCGTTTTCCTCTTTTACTATACGTCCATTTTTACAGTTTTACAGCCGCTGGGATCTGGGATGAAATAAGAGTTAATGAATTACCCGACTGAGACTGAGCATGAAGCGATGGGACAAAGGCAGCGAACTGAGGATCACGGAAAGGTTCTTTGCGAGTGTTTTGTTTTAGTATTTTTTTTTTGCCGTCATACATCCCACATTTAAGCATGCACCTTGAAAAGAGTCGACGATTTGGAACTTTTCGATGATCAGTGCCGAAAAAGTGCCAGGATCATTTGATTTTTGTCATCACCGTGGAGTGGATTTCGCCAGTTAAGCACCGCGTGCAAAAGCGATGACCTAAGTAGCAACTACGGAGGAATGCTTCAGAAAAATTGCAGTCTTCCTTTACAACTGACTTGTATCACCATGAGAGTTGCCTGATAAAACTGGCACTTGAAAAGTTGAACAGAAGACAACAGTTGCTCGCCCGTGAAGCTAACGGTGGAATTTGTGACATCGCGCTCCAGTCCAAAGACCCTCTTATCTCAAGAAAAACAAAATGGATTGTATCTGCGCCAAAAGAATTATGACTGACTAACAGGAGAATTCTCAGCAATTAATGTAGAAGTTTAGGCCAATTCTTTCCTTCGAATTCGCATCTGTAGATCACTTTTTTGCGAGAAAACAATGGCTAAGCGTTACAAAACATAGCAGGGAATCATCACTCTAACTGACGGGCAAAACAACCACAGTAGTTATTCAGAAAAACGCATTTCGGAAAAAAACTTGAAAAACTAGAAATTTGATTAATATTGAGTCATTTAGCCGAAATAAGAACCTTAACGCTCAAAAAAATTGGCTAAAGAAAACGAATCCTGTCAGGGCTACAGACTGCAGGTAGTAGTTAATCATTACGCATGTAACAGACCAGCTTCATGGTCTCTTCATGTGAGACAAGCAACCAAAATTAAGATCAACATAGTCAGAGTTTAAAATTCTCCACAGTATAATCTACCCGCTAGAAAGAAAAGAAAGAAAATCTCTGAGGGATGAAAACTCTAAAGTCACGTTTCACTAGCTTATGATTGTGTTTGGCCTGTCAACACCGACATTTCCTGCTGTTTCATGAAGTACAATAGCAGTGTCATTTCGTCGTTGTGATTGGCTCTTCCCACCGTCGGCACGCGAAGTCTCCCCTGGGAACCGTTCTAATTATAAATCTACTCGGGAAAGGGTTGACTTCAAGGGCTTGTACGGGAGATGGAAGCTCCATTTGATGGGCTCCTGTCTGGACGTTATCTTTCTATAGGCTTTATGAAGGACAGTAACTACCAGCTGGACTTCGTTGAAAATCACAATGGACATGTCAACATAACTGATCTTCCAGATCTCATTGCTTTCACGATCTGTTTCTGGATGAAGACTTCAGATAATACGAGTGCAGGGACTCCAATATGGTACAGAGTCCGACATGAAACTAAAGAAAAATACATCACTGCTATTGCACTTGTGGACTATCGAGGATTCGGTGTTTATTTAGGCGAGAAAAGGTCGTAGGTGTACTTTATCTCTATTTCTTTTGCCTCTTCTTAACAGTCAGGGCAATGATTATTTTGTTTGTTCTTATCATCCATAAAATATCGCAGTAATGTTGCCTTTTTTCTAGGGCCAAAACTGACTCAGCAGCAAATGACGGCAAGTGGCATCACATTTGTTTGGTATGGACTTCTGAAGGCGGAAAATTCACTTTACATAACGACTTGTCAATACTTCTAGAATCGAAATTTTCTGAGGGAGAAACGATTCCTGGTAGGCACAGCTGTCATGTTATGGCTTTGTTGTACTGATTAGAACCTGAAACGTAATAACCCGACTTAACTCTACTTCGCTCGTGTCTCGTATTTCACGACAAAAACTGAATTATTGGAAGATTTCTTCGAAATTGCTTAGAAAACATCTATATCGGAAGTTGAAGAATGAAAGGTGACTTTTCGAAAGAAGTACCTACTTATAACATTTATCTCTAAGAACGAGGCAATACATATTTTCGTCATAAGCTAGGAGATAAAAGAAATATTCTCCGAGCGAGAAAGTAAACGATGCTTTCAAAAATCTTACTGCCACTTTATGTTCGATAGGAGGAGGTGAATTTATTATTGGCCTGACAGAGGATTTGGCAAAAGAAGATCCCCAAGCTGGACAGTTCATTGGCCTGATAAGCCATGTTAACATCTTTGAAAAAGCCCTTGATAGAGAGGAGATAGAATGGATGTCACACGGTTGTGGCAAAGACTTTTCGCATGCGATCTACCCCTGGTCGCAGTTTATTAAAGGCTTTGTTGGGGACGTGAAAGACGAAAAACCTGCANTAGGAGGAGGTGAATTTATTATTGGCCTGACAGAGGATTTGGCAAAAGAAGATCCCCAAGCTGGACAGTTCATTGGTCTGATAAGCCATGTTAACATCTTTAAAAAAGCCCTTGATAGAGAGGAGATAGAATGGATGTCACACGGTTGTGGCAAAGACTTTTCGCATGCGATCTACCCCTGGTCGCAGTTTATTAAAGGCTTTGTTGGGGACGTGAAAGACGAAAAACCTGCATTGTGTGCAGATCGTGAAGGTGATGTACGCAGTGGCGTCGCAAGAAACCACATATCATGAGCATGCTATAGTATAATTTATTACCTTTAACCCTATTCAGACAGGAGGGCTTTTGGAGCCCCCCTAGCTAAAAAGTTGAATAACTTCAAAACCGGTATAATATGGACACCTGGCGACTTTACTTTAGAATTATCTGGAAACATTTTAAAGTCGTAATGACGTGTACGTCAGCATTGACGTTACCACGGCAACCGAGTTTTGACAGTCATGTTTTTCAAAATTTGCTTTTTTCCTATAAAAAGGATTGATTTTTATTTTTACTTAGCGAATTTTAACATTACACTTA